GAAGCAACAAGCTTCTCAAATACCTTAGAAAGTACGGGAAGAATCGACACTGGACGCAAGTGATCTTCCGAGACAGGTGTGTCAACTTTTGGAATGGGGCTGATACGCGCGAGTTTCCAGGCATGCAGGAAGTAAAACTTTGAAATACAGTTATTGATAATAGTTGTGAGTGGGCCGGCTAAGTATCTAGCAACCAGCTTCACGAACCAGGCCGGCAATTGGTCGGATCCAGTCGAACAGTCAGTACGCAGTTGTTTAAGGGTTCGCAGGACTTCTCTTTGTGCAACACTTTCCAGGTGAAAGGCGCCCTCTTTATCCGTAAGATCGCGGATGAACTGGAAGAGTTCATCTTGGCTGGTCGATTCAACATCAAGCGTTCTCCTTGCGGTCGTAGCAAAATGACGATTAAGCTTGTCTGGGTCGAACCTTAAAGGCTGTCGACAAGGGTGGAGTACGCGGTGAAATATGCGCCAGACTTCCTTAGGCTTGTTGGACAGCAAAGCCTTTTCCATGAAAGCTTTACGAGCTTTGCGTATAGCGCTCTTTATTTTATTTCGCACTTCCCGGAAAGCAGACCAAGAAGATTCTGAATTTGACTGATGCGCTTCTCGCCTCAGTTTGTCTCTTTGTGACTCGAGGTTAAGTATTGTTTCGTTATCCATCCACGGGGCGTGAGGACGTGTTACATGGTACCTTCTGAGGGGGACGTGCCTTTCAATGCAGTCGTTAAACAAGGTGTTGAGAGTCTCTAATTGATCGTCAGGGTCATTAGTTCATGTTATTACCGAAAATGGTAGTGCGAAGAAGTCCTCTAAAAAAGCTGTCTCATTTAAGTTCTTCAGGTTTCTGATGTGCTTTTATCTTGGCTGATAACGAGCTACGCGGATGTTTACAAACGCGAAGGGGCCATCGTGATCACTCACAATACTGCACGGTATCACACCATGAGATGTTATTTTGGATGGATCATTGATAATGATGTGATCCAGTAGGGTTCGTGATGTTCTTGTTGTTCTTGTAGGTTTGTCAATGATTCCCTTGACATTAAGGGTGTCAAGTAGGGAAGTATATCGCCGCGTTGGGGCGTCCGGTACGCCCAATAGATCGAAATTCATGTCGCCTGTAAGAACGAGAAGACCATCCCACTGCGCAATAATGCAACCGATGAGATATTCGAGCTCGTCCAGTCATGCTGAAGGTCTGTGCATGGCTTCTGACCGGTAAAAATTCCACAGTAAGAGTTTACTGCGCTTGTTCTTTCCTTGAATTTCCAGCCAGAGGTGTTCGATGTCATGAGTTTTATAGAAATTGGTTGCCTCTGACTGTTGTTATTTTTGAAACAGACGTTTCGGCTCATGCTTAAGCCTTCATCAGTTATATGAAAAACGAAGATCGTTATCATACGCTATTTAAAGTTAAAAACGTGACGCGAAGCTTGCGCGCGTAACTATGTATTTGATGCTCGTGCGAGGTCTTTATAGGCTTCAGGAAGTACGATGTGATCCTTCCCCGCATGGGAACGATCACATCGTACCTCTATGTGTTCCATGTCAGGTTGGGTGTTATCGATGTCCTTTCGTCGCTTGTATTTGATATTGTCTCGAATATAAGCCCCCACCCCACCACCCTTGACATTGTCCCGATTCCGAAATTCCTTTGAGAAACCAGGGAGTGAGACATATTCTAGTCGATCCTTATTGTTTTTCATCCAGGTCTCACTTAGAGTTATGATATCAAGGGGGTATTTTTTGACTGTCAAATCGAATTCATTAAATGTCCAAAGTATACTTTGCGTATTCAAGTGCATCAACTTCAGCTGGCTGGATTTATCGATCATTGTCTCTAACATCTCATCATTTGCTTGTATTTGGAAACTGGCCTCAGACGGGCCTGACAGGTCTAGATCACATTGATCTAGATCTCATGTTGCATCAATCTTTCGAAAGGTGGCGGGTCAGGTTAATGCGTTAAATAGGCTAAAAAATATCCTGCCTCTTCAAACCAAGGAAACACTTTATAGCGCTTTAATTTTACCTCATTTTGATTATTGCGGCCAGTTATGGCACCCCTGTGGGGAAAGGAATACAAAGAAAATGGAAAGGGTAAATCAACGTGCGCTTAGATATGTATATAAAGATAAGGGTATTTCATATGAAGACTTGCTCGATTGTATCGGCTTGCATACGACGTTGAAGAGTCGTAGGATTC